CATCAACAGATCACCTGGGTAGCCAGAGGCTCCAGCCAGTACTGCAGGATGGGCCAGGCAGCCCAGCAATGGGTGGGCATCCCTGCTCCTCCCCTCTCCCACTGGGATCTAAGATGCTAGATGTGAAAAAAAAAGGAAGGAGGAATGGGAGTGTGGGGCCAAAGAAACCGTGGAAGTCCTGGCAACATGAGCACTTAGGTTCCTTACACCCCATGCATCACTCTCTGACTCACTGTCACTTAGCCACCACCACCAGTTGAGACACAAGAGCCCCACTGAGCAAAACCGCAAAGCTGAAGCAAACCCGTCAGGGAGGCAGTGTGGTTGGTATCATCATTCTCAAAAGAGAGATTTCAGAAGAAAGGGGAGAGAAACATAAATCTTTAGACCCTCTGCAGCCCCCTCTACTTCCTCAGAGGCTCTGCAAGGGTCCACTGGGGAGTGGCAAGGAGCGAGTCAAGAGCCCAGCTCAGAGGAAGTGTGATGGGGAGAATCCCAGCAGCACAGCCCCCCAACTCACAGCCTGCAGTCTCTGCTCACACCCTCTCTGGCCTCCTAACCGGCTTCCCCAGCACCTCTCCTTCCCAACTTGAGATAACTGCCCTGGCTCCTATTTATTGTGCCCCCTCCCCGCCCCCATATGCCAAGCACTGTGCTGGGTGCTTCCTGTATTATTTCTGATGCTTTCAACTCTGCAAATGGATATTATTACCACCACTGACAAACAAGAAAACTGAGGGAGGGCCCAAGGTCACACACCTCTTCAGTGCCCAGCTGGCTAAAAACCCATGTTCTACCCATTACATCACACTTTAACTTTATCTTATAGATGCAAGAGAAGAGAGAGGAAGAAAGTGTTGTTTTGGGAAAATTAATCCAGTCTCTTCCATTCCAACCCCAGTGTGGACTGACTGATCTTATTATTAAAAGGGCAGCTTTCATCACGTCTCTCCATCACCTACAGAACCAAGTCCCAAAAGCTTTGCCAGGCATTTAACATTCATCACAATCCACTTTTCCAATGTGATTTCCCCTTCCCGAGACTCAAATCTCTCCTTCCATCCAGACCGGCCCATAACTCCTCATTGTCTGTACTTCTACCCCAGATGGTTTCCTTTCTTTGCCTGCAAAACTAGTTCCTCCGGCCAACCATGGACTGGGGAGGACTGCATGCCAGGTCCTGGGCTAGGTGCTGGGAACACAACAGGCAGAACAGGGAAGATCCCCATTGTCACAGAGCCTGGAGTCGGCCCTCGTGAGGCGTGAGCTAGGACCCTTCTCTAGTGACTGGGGGCCCTCGGCCTGACCCTTGCCCAAACTCACAGCACTCAGCATTTGCCACCCACACGGAGCTCGGCTATTCCTCCCATTGATGTGCCAGTTCTGTTTTAAAATTTCCTCTGTAATGTGTTTGTTTCTGTGGGAAAAGTGCACTCCAGGTTCCAAACAGCATTATAAATGGCAATTAGGTCCCCAGGCCAGCCCACAAAAGCCTATTAAATATATAATGGTGTAGAACCTAAATATGTATACATTAAAAGCTCTGCAGGAGAGACCAGGGACAAACATCTCCTGCTTCCTGCACCTCCACCCACTGTCCCACCAGGTTCTGAGCATCAAGCCAGCGTCAAGCCACCATCAAGGGCAGAGGCCCTAACAGTGGCTTGGGAGAAAGGAAGCAGGTGGAAGATGGGGGGCTGGGATGGCAGAGATGGAGCAGGAAGAAATCTGATCTATAATTCAGGAGACTGGCACCAATCCCAGCTCTGTCTTTACAAACCCAGCAGCCTTGAGACCCTTCCCTCTCAAAGCCCCACTTCTCTAAAATCAAAGAGCTGAGTTATATCAGGAGTTCTCAGACCTCTGAATCTCAGGGATTGGCAAAATATATTTTTCAAAATGTATTTTATATATTTTTTAAAACATTTTAAAATATATAACATGTTTAAAATATATAATGTATATTATACATTTAAAAATAAATTTTATCTAGAAAAGACTTTCTTAAAAAAAAAATCAATATACCATCACTACTTAATTTTTTCTAAAGGACACTGAAAACCGCCCCTTCCCTTCAATATGGACATCATGTCAGAAAAATGGACAAGTTTTTAAACTGAAAGTATCTGGATTCGTGGAAAAACCATTCACCATTATTACTTTTCCAGTGTGTCTATGGACCAGTGAAAATTGTCACAGCCCAGTTCCAATCCTTGGCCTGATGCTGGAACCACTTGAGCCAGATGACTTCACGTCCCCTCCAGCTCTGACATGTCTCCATTCTGAGGACTGGATGTCGACTACACCACAATCAGCATGGATGGCCTGGGGAAGGGGCCACCGCAGGGAGGAGCTGAGAAGGGCAGCAGGAAGGGGCAGCCAGCTGCAGGGGTGGGGCCAGGGCAGCACAGCCTCCCCAGACCGAGGGCAGAGATACCTAGCCAGGAGGGAAAGGCTAGAACCAACCTGTCCCAAGTGCTGACTGTGACTCTTCATCCCAGTATTCTTCTGGAAGGCTGAGAGGCCCCAAAGGAACCTTTTTCCTTAATTAACTTTTCTGATCAAAAAACAAATACACATCCATATAGAAAACTTGGGGAAATAGAAAAAAGCATAAACAAAGAAATAAACAAAAGTCACCCAGAGCTGTGCCTTCTAGAACAATCGCTGTTAACATTCTGATGCACTGCTAATTCCTCAATCACATATGAAGCTATCTTCAGCCACCCTGGTATTCGTTCTGTACCTTGCTTTACCCCTAATTATGAAGCACTTTTCCATGTCCCTAGATATTCTTCATAAGCATATAAAATATTTTGATAGTCAACATGGCATTCTAATAAATATAAATATTCTTTATAAACATCACTTTCTATGGCATGGACAGGACCCAAAATCATTTAACTATGTTGTTATTGTTGAGCATTTAAGCCATTTCTATATTTTTACTATTGTAAAAAACGTGGTAGGTATATATCCCTGTCCGTGAATCTCTATAGATCCCTTTATACTGCTTCATGTCCCTTGGGTCACAGTCCAGTGCTCTGCACATATCAGCTCTCAGTAAATATTGAGCAAACGAGGAAACCCAATACACTCCTAGGACCTTGGGAGCCCTTATTGGACATACATAGAGTTTAAATGTACAGAGGCCCACCGTGGTGTCCACCAGCCACTCAGCACTGGCCCTGCACCATTGACACCTGCTGAGCCAAGCTAGGGCATGGGGAAAGGAGAAGGTCAATTTCATGCTGCAGACTCCCAGGTTCTGGTGCTCTCAGCAAACCTACCCATCCTTCCACACCTGGAGACGGAGAGCACCAGCAGACCTTAACTGCCTCACACTCCCCCCACCCCCACTTCCTCCAGACTGCACAACCCACTGCCTCAGGAAAGCCATGGCTGACCTCTGACCTTCCCACCAAATTAATGAGGAGGCTGCCAGCACCTCGGGTATTAGTGCTCACTGCCCTGTCTTTATTTGCTCACAGGACTGACTCCGTTGCCCAAGCCAGGGCAGCACCGGAGGTCAGGGATAATCTGTGCTTTGCTCTCCATCCAAAATCCAATCCAGCGCCAAACATCGTTGATAAATTAATGATTGCCGAAAGAAACTTGTTTCCAGTCAGATTCCCAAGCCCTCTATTTTTATAGAAGGGAGACGAAAAAAGAATAGAGGAAAGCAGGACCCCCTAAAACAGCCCAAATGCAAAGACCTGATAGGGGCTCCTGCTGGAGCTGGCCCCCTCTGCACAGTCCTGCGGTATCTCCTGGCCCAGAGACCTGCCCAAGCCAGCTGGCTCCAGAAAACAGAATGCAAACAGATCATCCACAGGTAGACGCAGGTAAAGGGACACTGTCCCATTCCAGACTAGTTCTATCCCAGAGGGAGAACGGTCAGATCTAGGGAACAGGAAGCAGCCTTTCCCACCGACTTCCAGACAACCAGAAAATACAGGGCCAGTCCTCCTTGGTGATGCCCCAAAGGCAGGATATCAAAAGATGAAATTGTTTAAAGCAACTAAATCCACACTCCAGTTTTTCTCCTCCTGTTGCCCAACATTCTTGTCACACCCAACAGAAAAAAAAAAAAAAAATCTGGGTTGGAGAGGGTACCCACAGCAGAAAGTTTCTGGGAACTTCATGGGGAAAAAAGGAGCCAAGATCGTCCTGAAAGAAGGGAGACCGACCAGAAGTTATGGAGTGATGTGGAAAGAGGCCACATTATCCCATCACACACCCACAGTAACACCGAAGCCAAACCTGGAGAGCCCTGGGCACTGTGGACAAATACATACATTTTGGCCTCTTCTAGGGATTTCCTGGAGCCACCCCCGCCCGCCCCTGCCCCTTTCAATTGTAAGCAAACTCCTCTCAGCGAGCCCACCACTCCCAGCACGCTGGCTCACCCCTACTCCACTCCTGCATGATTTTGCAGTTCACAGAACTTCCTCCATCCGACCCGCACCCGACGGCTTTGGGGGGGGGGGGGGGCTTTACCGTCCCCACTTCATGGATGAGGAGACTAAGTCGCAAGTGTCACAAACTAGAAAGTGGCTGAGGTTCGGGCCAGGGCACTTGGGTGTAGAAGCAAGAACTCCTCCGCGGACCCCACCCAGCCCTGCCTGCAGGCAGGGTACCAGGTGGAGACCGGCACTTTCTCTGCTGCTCAGGGTGGAAACCAAGAACAAGGTGGCCCTAAAGCAAGGTTTCCAGCAGTACAGATATAAAACACCCTTTTCCCACCCCGCACTCACACAGGTGCAGGGCCCAGAGTATGGGCGCGGCGCACCCTCCAACCCGCCTGTGTCCCGCCCTAGCCGCCGGCTGCCCCCCCCCCCGACTTGCACCCCCGCAAAGTTGTGCCCGCGGCGCAAGCCCACTGCGTGGTTCCCTCGGACCCTGCGCCCTGGAGGGCTCCGCGGGGAGGGCACGGGGACTGCCCCACTGCCTCCCCGGCGGCCACCGGGTCCACGCCTGCCCGGCACGCATGCCCCCACCCCGGGGTTTGGAGGCAGCTCCCCGCACGTCCCGCGAGGGCCGGGAGCAGGGAGCGCGGACCCCAGCGTGGGGCGCACGTGCCGCCCCCTCCCGGACCCCAGCGCCACAGCCTCACCCAGACTGTCAGCAGCAGCAGCAGCCATGCCGGCCCGACCCGCGCCATCCCCGCCGCCGCTGCCTACGGCTGGCTCCGTTCTCCACTCAGGCTCCCGCGCCCGCAGCTCCGCCGGGTCCAACAGACACGGCCACTTCCCAGCCGCTCCCCGCCTCCGAGTTCCCGGTGCCACGTCTGCCAAAGCATGCGCACGAGGCTGAAAGAGGCGGCCTGGAAGAGGTGCTTGCTGGGAGTCGTAGTTTGCGGCAAGGCTGGGCTGGGGGCCTCCCGGCGTGGACTTGGCCCCAGAGGCACGGAGGCGCATGAGTGGAGTGCTAAACGGCGGCGAGGTCAGCCAGTAAACGAAGGCAGTTAATTTGCGGGGCTTACTCTGTGCCTGGAGTTTCAGATCAAGATCTCATTCAGCTTACAGAGATAAGTTTTCTTTTCCCTACTTTGAGGATGGAGAGGCAACCAGAGAATTCAAGTAATTTGACCCAGACCACGGTTTGCAAAAGGCAGAGTCCAGCACTGTTTGTGAAGGGTAGGAAAAGCCCTCATTCCCTTCCTCCCAGGCTCCCACTTACCTTGTCTTTTGTTCATTCAGAAAAACTTTATTTAGCTAATGGGAAACGGTTACAACTGACTCTTGTTTCCCGCTCAGGTCATGATCTCAAGGTTTGTGGAATAGAGCCCCACATTGACCTCTATGCTGACAGCATAGATCCTGCTTGGGATTCTCTGTCTCCCTCTCTCTCTGCCCCTCCTGCACTCTCTCTCTCTTTCCCAAAATAAATAAACTTAAAAAAAAAGTTAAATATGGATTACCATACAATCTAGCAATTCCACTTCTAGCATATACCTAAAAGAGTTGAAAATAAGTACTGAAACATGTTTGTATGCAAATGGTCCTAGCGCTTTTATTCACAAGAGTTGGAAACAATGCAAATGTCCACTGAGGGATTAATGGTTAACAAACTATGGCACAAGTGAAGAAATGTGCAGAAGACACGAATAGACACTTTTCCAAAGAAGACATCCAAATGGCTAACAGATAAATGAAAAGATGCTTAACATCACTAGTCATCAGGAAAATACAAATCAAAACTACATTGAGATACCAACTCCCACTGGTCAGAGTGGCTGAAATTAACAACTCAGGAAACAACAGATGTGGGCAAGGATGTAGAGAAAGAGGAACCCTCTCGCATTGTTGGTAAGAATGCAAACTGGTGCAGCCACTCTGGAAAACAGTGTGGAGTTTCCTCAAAAAATTAAAAATAGAATTACCCTGTGACCCAGTAATAGCACTACTGGGGATACAGGAGTGCTGATTCGTAGGGGCACATGTACCTCAATGTTTATAGCAGCACTATCAACAATAGCCAAATTATGGAAAGAGCCCAAATGTCCATCAACTGATAAATGGATAAAGAAGATGTTATGTATATATATATATATATAGAGAGAGAGAGAGAGAGAGAGGGAGACAGAGAGAGAGAGAGAGAGGGAGAGAGGGAATGGAATACTACTCAGCAATTAAAATAATTAAATTTTGCCATTTGCAAGATGGAACTGGAGGGTATTATGCGAAGTGAAATAAGTCAGTCAGAAAAAGACAGATATCACATGTTTTCACTCATGTGGAATTTGAGAAACTTAACAGAAGACCATAGGGGAAGGGAAGGAAAAATAAGTAAAAACAGAGGGAGGCAAACCATAAGAGACTCTTAAATACAGAGAACAAACTGAGGGTTGAGGGGAATAGGGGGTTGGGGGGGATGGGGAAATGGGAGATGGGCATTGAGGAGGGCACTTGCTGGGATGAGCACTGGGTGTTGTATGTAAGTGATGAGTCATGTGAACCTACTCCCAAAGCCAAGACTACACGGTATATACTGTATGTTAGCTAAGCTGACAATAAATTATTTAAATATATATATACATATATATGTATATATATATAGTACATCCATATAGTGAAATATTATTCAGCCATAGAAAGGGAAGAAGTACTGATATATGCTATAATGTGGATGAACCTAAAAAATATTATCTATTGAAATATTGTGCAAAAAATAAGCCAGACACAAATGATTGCATTTTGTATGATTACATTTATATAGAATATTCAGAAATAGGTAAATCCATAGGAACAGAAAGCAGATTAGTGGTTGTCTGGGACTAGTGGGCAGGAGGGTTTGTGGAATGAATGCTCAGTGGGTATAGGATCTCCTTTGGGGGTGATGAAAATATTTTGGAAAGAGATAATGGTTACACAACATTGTGAATATACTAAATGCCATTGAATTGTCCATTTTAAAATAGTTGCTTTTATGGTAATGTGAATTTTACCTCAATAAAAAATGTTTAAGAAATCTTTACTGAACTCATTCATGTGCTAAAACATTCTTGCATGTAGTTATTCATTCAAACATGTTTAGGGGCGTCTGGGTGACTCAGTCAGTTGGGTCCAGCTTCAGCTCAGGTCATGATCTCACACTTCATGAGTTTGAGCCCGACTTTGGGCTCTGTACTGACAGCTCAGAGCCTGGAGCCTGCTTTGGATTCTGTCTCCATCTCTCGCTGCCCCTCCCCCACTTGTGTTCTCTCTCTCTCTCTCTCTCTCTCTCTCTCTCTCTCTCTCTCAAATATAAATAAACTTTAGAATTTGTTTTAATGTTTATTGAACACCTACTACATCCTGAGGCCCGAGATATACAGTAGCGTGATGTACAAGGAAGTGCACAGACTGGGTTTGGTAGGTTATAAGTGAAAGATCTTTGCTCACTGTCTGGAGGCCCGTCCAACCTATCATCATGTCCTGTCATTTCTACCTTCACAATCTATCTCTTCTGCCACCTCCTGAGTCTAAGTCACTGACATGTCTCACCTAAGCAGGGGTAAAATCTCTGGATGCATTCTCCTGCATACCCCTTATAATGCGTTGGATCTTGCCTGTCACTTGCCTGAAAACCTCCAGTAGCTCCCCATTGCCCTTCGAATGAAATTCAGACTCCTTCTCAGGACCTGTAAACCTGGCATGGTCTGGTCCCAGCCCTCTAGACCTCATCTCCTGCCTTGTCCACTTGGCTCCAGTTACTCAGACCATCATTTTCCTTCTCCCACCCTTAACAGCTATTCCCACTTCAGGGCCACTCTTCCTATTCCCTCTGCCTCAACACTTACCCTGGCCCTTTGTCTGATTGGCTCCATCCAATCCTTCATGGCTCTCCACTCCCAAACCCCTTATTCTCTAGGGGATTTTACCCTCTCCACTCCCAAACCCCTTATTCTCTAGCTCGGGTTCTGTTTGTTCTTTGCTGTTGGGCGCTTACCACAGTCTGCAAGTACTTACCTAGTTGGTGTGTTCCTTGTCTGTTGCTACAACTGAGATGTAAGTTTCACATCTCTCTTGTTTGCCAGCTAAGTTTAAACCTACCACAGGAGCTGAGCCTCTGGTGGTTCTTGGAGTGGTTCCTGATGAAAGACTGAATGATTAAATGAAGTGATATGGTGGGGAGTTTCAGAAATTCCTGAAGCAGGCTGGGGGACAGGGCTTCCTCTGCATGCTTGCTCTGCAACGTCAAGCTCGTGACCTGTATGTGGAAAAGTGGGCCTCGCAGCTCCATGGGTCTCTAGTTCTCATCTGTAAGATGAAGCAGGTGGTAAGGATGTTAGAACAACAGTACTCTCTCATACATTGCTAATGGGAGTAAACACTGGTTCAACAACTTTGGGCAACAGTACATGTACAAAATATGTAGAAAGATGTTCATAATTTTTTTAAATTTCATGTTTATTTTTGAGAGAGAGAGAGAGAGACAAAGCAAAAGCGGGGGAAGGGCAGAGAGAGAGAGGGAGGCACAGAATCCAAAGCAGGCTCCAGGCTCTGAGCTGTCAGCACGGAGCCCGACGCAGGGGTGAACCACAAACCGCGAGACCATGACCTGAGCCAAAGTCTGACACTTAACTGATTGAGCCACCCAGGCGCCCCATAACAGTGTTTTCATAGTACCTGTTGTGAGCTAAATTGTGTCCCCCGAAGTTCATATACTGAAGGTCTTAAACCCCAGTACATTAAATATGATTATTTGGGGAGAAGGCCTTTAAAGAAGTAACTAAGGTTAAGTGAGGTCATTGGATGGACCCTTATCCAATATGACAGGTACCCTTATAAAAAAGGGACATTAAGACCTATACACAGGGGGCGCCTGGGTGGCTCAGTTGGTTAAGCGCCAACTTCAGCTCGGGCCATGATCTCACAGTTCATGAGTTCAAACCTCACATTGGGCTCTGTGCTGACAGCTCAGAGCCTGGAGCCTGCTTCGGATTCTGTGTCTCCCTCTCTTTCCCTGCCCCTCCTCTGCTAGTGCTCTGTCTCTCTCTCTCTCTCTCAAAAATAAAATAAACTTCAAAAATTAAAAAAAAAAAGAAGACCTACACACAGAAGGGAAGACTATGTGAAGACAGAGATAGACAGCCATCTACAAACCAAGGACAGAAATCCTCAGGAGAAACCAACCCTGTGGAGAAAAAGGAACCCTTGTGCACTGTTGATGGGAATATAAATTGATGCAGCCACTGTGGAAAACAGTATGGAGGGTCCTCAAAAAATTAAAAATAGAACTACCACACAATCAAGTAATTCTGTTGCTGGGCATTTACCCAAAGAAAATGAAGTCACTAATTTGAGAAGATATATGTGCCCCTATGTTTAGTGCAGAATTGTTTAACAATAGCCAAGGTATGGAAGCAAGCTAAATGCCCATTGATAGATGAATGGATAAAGAAGAGGTACACACACACACACACACACAC